AGTAAGGCCTGTGACAGACAGGCAGACAGCAGTAAGGCCTGTGACAGACAGACAGACAGCAGTAAGGTCTGTGACAGACAGACAGTAGTAAGGCCTGTGACAGACAGACATCAGTAAGGTCTGTGACAGACAGACAGACAGCAGTAAGGCCTGGTTTTCTCTTCGCTGATGCTGCTGGCCCTGCCTTGTCCTTGCTCACTTGTATTTTCCCACCACTTTAGGAACCTTACTGCTGTTTTCGGTGATGTACTTGATTTTAGCTCTGGCTTCTTTTTTCCCTCTGGCTTCTGCCTTTGATATCATTCTTGAAAGCTGCTTTGCATTCAAAAAATTATGAACATAACCATAATTTTCCTAGTGTTTTTGTCTTTTTCTCCAAGTAGAATTTAGTTCCTCTTGGGAGTGAGGTAGAGAACCTAGCTTTCCGTGTTTCTTATTGAAATTGCCAGCAACTTTTCTGAATGCCATGTGAAGAACTGTAGCTAGAGTTTTTCTGCCTGGCCCACAGTCAGGACAAATCTCTGTCACCCACCAGTCCCACAGCCACTCAGACCCAACCAAGTAAACACAGAGACTTATATTGCTTACAGACTGTATGGCCGTGGCAGGCTTCTTGCTAACTGTTCTTATAGCTTAAATTAATCCATTTCTATAAATCTATACCTTGCCACGCGGCTCGTGACTTATCCGTGTCTTCACATGAGACTTGTCATGGAGGAGGCTGGCAGTGTCTCCTTCTGCTTTCCTGATCTTTCTTTTCTCCTCTCTGTTAGTCCCGCCTGTACTTCCTGCCTAGCCACTGGCCAATCAGTGTTTTATTTATTGACCAATCAGAGCAACACATTTGCCATACAGAACATCCCACAGCAAAGAACTGACATCTTTATTCAGTGTACATCAGGCTCCAGCCCTGGGCTCTCTTGCTGGAAGCTCTGCTCTCTGCTGAATCTTCATGACACTGTTTAGTGCTTTCCAGACACTAAAGACAATTCGCGTTCCTGTCGCCTCAGAATTGTCTTGTCTGTTCTCACTGTTTATATTCCCTGTGAGCTGTGTCATTAAAGTAAACAGACTCAGAAAACAAACTGAAAAGAATAATCTAGTAGAATCACACAGGGAAGCTGACATCTTTTACTATATTGCTCACTATTCAGAAACTGAGGATGTAGCTCAGTTGGTAGAGTGCTTGCCTAGCATCCACGAAGACTTGGGTTTGACCCCCAGCACTGCATAAACCAGCTGTGGTGTCACACACCTGTAATCCCAGTCCTCACTCAGAAGATGAAGGCAGAAGTGTTGTTCCCATTGGTTAATAAATAAGCTGCTTTGGCCTATGGCAAGGCAGCTTAGAGGCAGGTGGGAAATCCAGCTCATTCGGTACCGCATGAGACTCTTAATCTCAGGGCCGTGGGTTTGTGCTCCACGTTGGGCGCCAAATGTAGTCAGAAGTTTTCCTGTGGTCTTGACTAGACCCACGGTCCAGACAAATCTCTCTCACCCATGGTCCATAGCTGCTCGCACCCAAGTGAACACACAGAGTCTTATATTACAAACTGTATGGATGGTGTATGGCTGTCCTTTTGCCCTTATATCTTAAATTAACCCATTTCTATTAATCTATATTTTGCCATGTGTTCCATGGCTTTACTGGTTCTTTCACATCTTGCTTCTTCTGGCAGCGGTTGGCATCTTTCTCCTCTGCTTTTCCTTTTTCTGTTTCTTTCCTTGGATTTCTCACCTGCCTCTAAGCTGCCTTGCCATAGGCCAAAGCAGCTTATTTATTAACCAATGGGAACAACATATATTCACAGCATATAGAAAGACATCCACCAGCCCAGAAGGATCACAAGGTTATCCTCAGCTACATGGAGTTTGAGACCAATCTTGGATGTACAAGACCCTGTGTCAAAGAAAAAAATTTACCAATAACAAGTATGTCCTGACTTCAGGCCTATGATGAATGTGGACCCCCACCCTCCCAACTAAGCACATCTCCACAAGGTAGCTTCTGAGGCTCACAGACCCCCAAGCCTCTCATCCCTGTTTCACATTCTATACTCAGTTTCGTCTTAAAATACATCTTGAGTCTATTACTCAGTGTTATTCCATTACACCACTTGGCCAGATCACCTTCACTTCCTGGAGGGACACTTGCTCTGACAGCTTACCTTCTTCCCTTTTCTCAACACAACAGCCAGATCCTTTTTGGAACATTATGTCCCTCTATGTAGAGCCTGTCTGTGGTTTCATATCTTAGAGCAGAAGGGGATGCTCTCCCCTGGCCTAAAGGCATACGCTGTCCCCCTATTCCAGCACTCATCCCCAGTCTTCACACAAGTCTCTGCCCTGCTGGGACTGCAACCATGAGGATGCTGCCCACAGCTGTGGCTCAGGCTGGCAGTTGTCAGTGAATGAGAAGTTGGCACATGTCCTCAGCACTTTGATCTTGGTCATTTCAATCATTGCTCTGTGCTGTTGAGAATGTGATGGTTTCTGCTTCTGACGTCTGCCAACTTCTGGCTCCCTGACTTTATGCTTTTGTGGTTTCCAGTTGCTGATACAGGTTTTCAGTTATATATTTATAACAGCCATTGGAACATACTATATTATCTTTGTTTTTAATATTTATATGTTTGGCAATTATATATAACTTTATGGTCATGTAATTCTCCTCTAATTGTATTGATGTTCATTCATTAAAATTTTTCCCTTTTGTATTTGGATCTTTTTCTCTTTATATATTTGTAGTTTTGCTATGCTATGGACAGGGTGGATGTGATCTTTGTAAATTATTGTGGCTAGTTAGCTCCATTTTAGTCAATTGGTTGACTACCAGGTCCATCTTGTTTTAGTGAAGAGTTTTACCATGCTTTAGATGAAGTGAAAGATTAGGACTCTAAGTGACTGTGATTCAGAAGAAGACAAAGCCCAAATGTAGAACTGTAGTGACTAACAGCAATTTTCTGAACTAGGAGGAAGCAACAATACAGTTGCTGATTAGTCTTGCAGAAAGCTACAGATCTCGCTGCCACCCAGCCTTCCAGCTTCAAAAACAGGTATGCCACGTGCAGAGTGTTTGGGAGAGGGGACATGTGTGATACTGATCTCCCTTCAGAGACATCAGAAGGGCCCCACGGCCTTGCCCTGTCAGACTTCCTGACCAGTTGGTCCCTTACTGTATGGCTTTGGTCAAGTGACTCAGTCTTCTGAGCTTGCAGCTCAAGTTCTGTGTCTCAGAGTTAAAGGTGGTTCTGTCTCAAGGGTGACAGGTGGGGTGTTTAGCATGGGACCTAGATGGCTGCTGTCACTGGTCATTGCCCAGAGATAGAAGCAAGTTTTATCACGTGAGAATGTCATTTTTTTTATTCTACCATATAAGACAACTTTCTGTTAACTTACAATTTTAAAAACAAACTTCCAAGCATTTCTACCAGATAGTTCCAATTTGGGGATTATTTCAAATGCTTCATACTTTTTTTAAAAAAAGATTTTATGTAGGGGGCTGCAGTATGTATATATGAGTGCAGGTGGCCTTGGAGGCCAGAGGTTTCTGATCCACTAGAGCTGGAGTTATAGGCAATTGTAAGCCACACAACAGGTACGTGCTGTTAACTACTAAGCCATCTCCCCAGCCCTCAGATGTTTTATTCTGTATATGGCAGGGGACAGGACAAGAAGAACCCCCATGAATGTCACACTCAGAATGGCTCTTACACAGACTTGGCAAGAGAGCACAGCCTCACAGGGCTGCTGTAAACTGGTGTGTGTGTGTGTGTGTGTGTATGTGTGTGTGTGTGTGTGTGTGTGTGTGTGTGTGTGTGTTGGGAAAGACCTAGAGAGGCAGTGTCGGGGACCAAGGCTTGACTAGTGTTGTGTTTGACAAATACATCCATTGTGCGACTTTTCCTGTGGAGAGGTGCACAAACATCTGTTCTCCCCAGATAGAGCACCAACAAACAGATCAGAGAAGCCATTCCACCCAGTGAGTTTGGGGGAGTTGCTTACAGGGTGCCTAGATGACTCAGGCAGCTGCATCTGGTGATGTCCATCCCAGCAATGGTGATGACTCACAAAGGCTACACCCTGGAGTTTTCTATACAACTGCAGTCAGCTAAGCCAAGAGTGTCCTCTTCCCAGCAGTTGGCTTCTACTTCTAACCATGGGGAGGGCTCTTGAATCTTATAAGCTCCTTAAGACACTTCCTCCAGGAGAGATGTTTGAGTTCGGAGGGAATAGCTAAAGCAGTATGGGTAAGAAGGGGCGTGTCAGCCAATTAGCCTCCATCCTGTGGCCAGTGGGTTCTGGTTTGGGGGCAGGAGCATGGATAGTATCCTTCCATACTACAGATAACATTAGAAAGGTAGAAGTATCAGAACTTACCTACAAGGACCAGCATTTTAAAGAGACAAGGAGGACAGGAGGGAAGGTTCTGGAAGGTAGACTACCCGGTGACCCGATTGCTGAGTCCCCAGCCTGTGCCCTTTGCTGTCCTCTTCTATGACCCCAGAGAGCACCCTGGCTATTTTGGACCCTCATCTGTTATCTATCTACTACTTGGTGACATCCTGTGCTTTATAAGGTCATTGCTGCTGCAGAAGATTGCTCACATTCATTGATGTCCACACAGCTGCCACTTAATTTTCTCATATTATCGTGGGGCAGGACCTGCTGAAGGATCTGTTGTATGGCTTCACCTGGATGCTGACAAGTGATTGATAGTGTTGACATGCCTCCCTCGTCTGTGCTGTGTGCTCTCACTCACAGAACGATTGCCAAAGCTAGTCACAGTTCAGAGGAGGGGAGGTAGGTCCCTCTCAACTGAGGATGTCATATTTGTGAACATGCTCATCATCACCCCAACAGTAAGAACCAGCAGTAGTCTTAACAGTCCATCAGATGAACGTGTGAAATACTTGAGCTCACCATATGCTTTTCAAATATGCAATCTGTAATAGTTTTACAAATATTTTCTAGAAAGTGATTCAATATCCGTGACAGTTGAAAACACACTTTCTAGGATATTGTAAAACCTTAGAGCAGTCAAATATTTCCTCCCAGGTGCTGAACTGTGAGAAAAGCCTCAGGATGTGGCCTGTGCTGCCTGTGCCGGAAGAGCCTGGTCAGGAAGCAGCCAGGTGCGTGTCCCCTGGACTGGGGAGTATGCCACCTAAGTTGTTGCATGTACCCTTGGGTCGCGTAGACCATGGCTGGGTCGTGTAGACATGGGTTCTTGTACAAGGCTGTTAGCAGGCCTCTGGAAAGGAACTGCTGGGCCCAGTTTGTTGGCAGTTGAGCACAGACTGGAGGTGTCTGTCGGGAAGATAAGGCACCCTTCAGTAAGGGCTGGGCAGACATGAGGAGGAGGAGGGACACAGATCTGGGGACCGTAGAGTAAAGCAGATACACGAGTAGTAGAGCCACTCTGGGCAAGCTGCAGATCACCTTCTTTCCGCACAGTGCCTTGCGTTCAGCTTCCCCTGTCATTCATTTCATCCTGTCATGATGCCTGTTTTCACTTACGTTGGGGAAACTAAATTTCAGATCAAGTTCACTGCACACTAAACATCATTTTATATTATCAATAAAACATCATTTTATATTATCAATAATGTGGAAGTTTTAATTATTGGAGTATACCTTTAAATATTGTGTGTTCTTCAGATTGGAAGGTAATTCTGAAGCATTTGCCTGCAACTCTTTAATTAGCAAGATTTTGTGTGAGTTCTGCCACCATATTCCCGGGAGTACCTGCGCTGTAAATGGCTTGGATGGTCTTCCCCCAGAGAAGTGAGTACTGAAGAAACATAACTGGTAATTTATGACATCAGACTTAATGTTTCCATTCTAAATTTTAGCAGTTTGATATTGTGTCCCAAAAGAAGTCATCAGGTGAACTTAGGTGATCTCTGTGCAAGTACCGTGTGTCTAGTTAAGTTTCCCATGTGTGCTCTGTTCACTGCGGTTGCATTTACCTGTCACTTGCTGAGGTCCCACTTACACCAGCAGACTCCAAACCAATTCAAATCAGAAGAAGAGACGACAGTGGCCTTCCCTGGTGTTGTGTGTCCCTTGCAGGTGGCCCCAGCTGCTCCAGGAACTCTGCAGCACACGCATCCCTACCCTGTTCTGCCCCAGACTCGTTCTGGAAGTTCTGGTTGTGCTCCGAGGCATCAGCGCCCAATGCCAGCGCGTCTCTGACCAGGTCGTTGCCTCTCTGCAGCTGAGACACAGGCAGTGGGTGGAGCATAGGCTGCGCTCCCGGCAGCGGCAGAACTATCTGCGCATGCTCAGCAGGTAGGCGGTTCCCCTCCTCAGCAGCCCTTTCTCAAGTTTGGGTGGGTGCTGATCTTTCCAGTGAATAATTACAGTGTCTACTGTTGTAGAGGAATTTTAAATTTAGCCTGCGGGAGTGGGTCCCACCACCCAAAATAACTGTCTGGATTTAAGCCCTAGAGCATGTTCCCTTGGATTGGCCAGCACTGATTCTTCACATTTCCTTAAAAAATAACTGTTTTAGACACATTTCTAGAACTTTGGGTTGAATGGTGAGGTGTTTTGTAGACCTATCAGAGCTCTTGCTTGGTCATTGCCTTCCAGAAGTTTCTCGGTGAGCCCTCAGTTTATACAGGAGTGCTATTACATCACTTCCCTCTAAAATGGAGTGAAGTGTTTTTAAGCATCTCTGTTGGTCTCATGGGCAAAATAAGGTTGGGCTTTAATAGGAATTTCTTGGAATCTAGCAAAGTTAAGACACCTTATCATCTTGGTGCTAGTGGGCACAGAGCATGGGACCTAGCAGCAGTCTCTGGGGCTGACCTGGTAAGTATTCTTGGGGGCAGCTGGGACTGAGCCAGATCAAAGCTGTTGCTGCTGCTACAGAAGGGAAGCTCTTTGTGACCTGAATGTGAAGGGCAAGGAGGGCTGGGCTGCACCCCAGAGACTGGGGCAGGGCAGAGCAGGGCGGCTGAGTATAAAGGACAGGAAAGCCATCTTCCCAGGTAGTTGGACTAGGGAGATTTTAAAAAGGTGTTGGCAAAACAAACTGCATGCTTTTTGTTTTGTTTATGGCTTTTTTTTCTTTTGCCATTCTGTTTATTTTTGTTGTTGTTTATTTTGATTTTCATTTTGTTTTGTATTGTGTGCTTTTTTTTTTTTGAGAGAGAGAGAAAGAGAAAGCACACTTACAAATATGAAGTTGTATGTGTGGGAAGGTGGGGAGGATCTGGGGAGAATTGGAAAAGGTGGAAAAGCATGATCAAAATAATTGTATAAAAATTTTTAATTAAAAAAGGTGATGATTAGGTGAAGTGTTGTTTTTCCTTAAAAAAATGGAAAGGACTGTCAGAATCTTAGCTCTGTTCATCGTTTTTCAGTGTTAGACTTCTGTCTCCTGTGCTTTACCTGATTTTGTTGCTCCTTGCACTGGAATTGGTCAGTGTTCATACTGTCCACGGTAAAAGTGCTCAGGACCGTCAGCAGTATCTGAGGTAAGATGGTGCTTAGGCGATCTTGAGAAGTTTTGACTTCTCTTGGCTATTCCTTTGGTGATGGTTTGACCCCACAGTCTCTCCTGCTCATCTTCTCTGTACAATGTGATGCTAAGTTTGTGGGCATTTGAAACTGCTTCCTATAGGCACATTTCACAGAACTGAATCTGATTTACTTGAGAATCCACTCAGAACTTGACAGTCTACAGACTGTGAGGATGGTCTTGGCGGAGGATCCTGAAGTGTGGACCATTCAGTGGCCTGAAGTCTGAGCCCTGAGACAGACCCCACCACATCCAAGTGACCCACAGTCACTTTAGTTGAGTACAGCTGACAGTTTCAGACTTGGGAATTCTACCTTTCAACAGCATCCAGATCTAGGGAGTCTGAAACTAAGATAAACTTTTGTGTAGACCAGTCCACATGCAGAGGCCCCAGAGCTCACGAGACTCTTTGGACAGAGCCAAACAAATATGTCTTGTGGTCAGTTGGCCATAGCTGTTGTGATGTAGCCTCCATCCATGCCTACAAGTGTTTCATATCTTAGCTGGCTTTATGCAGTACTTGGCAAGGGGTAGGAGTCCTTGCATATTGAAGCATCTATGGATTACAATGGTGTGTGTGTGTGTGTGTGTGTGTGTGTGTGTGTGTGTGTTTTAGACATGGTTTCACTGTGTAATCTTAACTGGCCTAGAACTCACCATGAAGTCGGACTGGCCTTGAACTCACAGAGGTCAGCTTGCCTCTGCTTTCCAAGTGTTGGTATTAAAGGCATGTGCCAGCCACAGTTTTTAGCTTTTTGATACTTTTTTTAAAGTATTTTTAAATTACTCTGGGGGAGGGGGGCTGAGAGGGGGAGTTGTGAAAGTCCGAGGACAGCTCGTTCAGTCCAGTCTCTCCTTCCACCTTTGCATGAGTTCCCGGATTGAGCTCGGGTCACTAGGCTTGCTTGGTGAGTGCTGTGCCTACTGAACCATCTGCCTACCCTGGACTGATTAGTTTTAATTGCCAGCTTGACACAACCTGGAGTTACAAGTTTCAGTTGAAGAAATTTTTAGATCGGGTTGGCCTGTGGGCATGTTTGTAGGAATTGCCTTCATTGTTAATTGATGTAGAAGGGCACAGCCCATTGTGGATGGCACCATTCCCTGGTTTTGGACCCAGGACTGTATAAGAAGAGCGATGGATAGCTGAGTCCAAAGCAGGCAGTGTATTTGCTTCTCTTTGCTGTTGACTTTGAATGTGGTGTGACCGGCTATCTCAGGCTCCTGCCACTGAGATTCCCTGCAGTGGTGGACTGTAACCTGGAATTCTAAGCCAAATGAGCCCATCTTCCCCTAAGCTGATTTTTGTAAGGTTATTTTATCACAGCAACAGAAATGACACCAGGACGAGGATGGCTGACTAGAGCTGAGACAAGTGCAGATGGCCTTGTTCACAGTGTGCAGGGCTGGATTGGGTACTCAGCCTTAATACCACTAGTACATGGCCTGAAGTGTCTCTGGGTACTGTGTGGCACTGGGTGTCATCCATGGCATCTGGCCACATGCTAGTAGCACTCCCCAGTGACATCACCAAGTGTCCCCAGAGAAGAGCCACTCCCTAGACCAAGGCTCTGTGGGTTTCATTGTACCGTTCATTTAGCATATGTTTATGAAAATTTTATAAATATAGATAGTTATGGGAAAGTCTACACTACTTGGGAAACTGAGGGGAAATCTGAAACTATAAAAATGATGTTTTTCCTAATCAGTTGGAATTGCTGCCCTTCTATGGACTATCTAAGGAAAATTGTTTGGTGGCCATTGTCCATAGGAATGGTGTTTCTCTTCAGAGACATGCAGCACAGAGGGAAGAAAGCCAAGTCATGCCACATTGGCACCCGGAGAGACTGTGGGCAGGACCTTCTCTCACTGTGACTCTGTCATGTCTCAGTCTGAGCCAGATGGCCCTCAAGTCTCTGGAATTCTGTTCCATCACAGAAACATCGCGTCAAGATCTGAGCGTGTGAAAAGAATCTTGAGTCTTATAAAACTCATCCCAGTGTTGACAGCCTTGGCCTCAGCATTTTTGTTTTTTCTATAACAGTTTCTCTTATTTTCATTTTGCATGCATTCTTCTTGAATCCACACACAATTAAGTAAATTTTAGGAATATTTCCAAGAGAAGACAAGACATGTATGCTGCTACATTCTATAATAGGACAGACAAAGAAACTAAAATTCCTCACTGTCTTTTTAACAGGTTCTTAAAATTGATCCTACAGTACACTGAGAACCTAGTGGCCTATACTAACCAAGAGAAGAACAAATGGAATGAAGCTATCACTCTTACACATGCAGTTTTGCTGAGAATTTGGACTTTCAGTGAGAAGAAACAAATGTTAATGCAGTTAGCCAAAAAATCCACAAATCAAGTTGATACAAGTTGATAAAGAAAACACAAGTCAGGCTACTCTTGGTTGTGAGAGAAAACTCAAATAGATTCATCAGCAAGTAAGTTGGGTGGCATCCAAAGGTGAGATGGATTCTGATCATGTACCAGGGATGCTGGTGGTTCTAGGGGATAACAGAGTCATTCTATGGGATGAACAAATAATTAAACATTTGGGAAAGACAAGACTAAGACATGGAGAGAGGGAAAACAACAGCTTTATTGAAGGAAGAGATATGAGGGGACCCAGAGCTTGGACTCTGCTAAGCAGACTCTCCTGCCGTGGGTATTTTCATAGGGCCCCCAGGTACTCCTCTTTCCCTTTTTGGTTCTTTTAAGAGTCTGGACTCTGCCTGCTCTTCTCACAGTGTCTTCTGGGAACAAGAAGATGCCATCGGAAGAAGCTGCTTTTGCTTTCTCTGTCTACCTCTGCCCCTTTAATTCTGCCTCCAGGCTCAAGCTGCACTTCTGAAGCATCCTGATTTGGTGTCATTGTGACCCCTAGGCTAGTCTGGATGCCTGCAGAAGTTTTGAGTTTTCCTGTCCTTGTGGTGACATTGGAGGATGTGGTCACTGCTTTACCCCTAGTTGTTGCCCGGAAACACATGGCTTAACATGTCTTGTTAGTCACATGTTCATTCTTAGAAGCTATCCTTGTAGCCATACAAACTGTGGGGGTGTGACAGATAGGCTCAGTTTGATCTGTGGGCGAGTTACAGTTATCCCTGGAGGCAGGATTGTGTTCATCAGTGTGCGTTTCATGGGTAAGTAATAAGCAGTAGCAGCCTGTGAAGGTGGAGGCCACAAAGCTGGGTGATAGACCACAGGTCCCCAGTGAGCATTTGGCAGAGGACACATTTCTAGATGAGAAGGCTGAGTGTAGGAGGCTCTGAAAGGTTAGAGGGGAAGAGGTTATTGAATTCTAAGAGTTCCCTGAAAAGCTACTTGGTTATTTGGGGATCTGGGAAGATAGTCTTCCACCTCAGTTGGTGGTGGCCAAATCTGGGGAGGCTGCATTGCTTGCATGTGTAATAATACACTTAGCCATACCAACCTCATGGTCATGGCTTCTCATAGCCACCTTCCAGACCTTGGCTGCAAATGTCCTTCAGCTAGCCAAGGAAGAATTTTCTGTGACACTTTAACTGAACTATAGAGGAGACTTTGGGGATACTTTGTGGTAGCTGCACATTCTGCTTGTTCCTTTGTAATTTTTACCCCGCACACACAAGTCAGCTTCTGGATGAAAGAGTAAATATACCAAGTTGCTGTTCATCAATTGGAATTTGATCGTTCGCTTGGAACAATACTAAATGGTGCCATATCTTCAGTGAGTCACATAAAGGACACATGATCTATGGACAGGAAGATGTATTCTGCATCTCTTCAGGGGCATCTTGTTTTCATGCATAATGACTTGTCCTTGTGTGTCTCATCAGGGGCACATGATCTTGTGTTTTTCATTGCATCACTTCAAGGAAATGGAATCCATATACGTGAAGATGTGTCCTGCATCACATCGGAGACACGTAGTTCATGTGCATGCCTTTCCTTGGCCCATTACTCCAAGGACACTTCTACCTTTTTATGTGTCATCATTTCTTGCATAGCAGCAAGAGGTGTTTTGTTTGCTCTGTTCCTGTGGTTTGGAAGTTGATAGCCAATACAAAAGGGCCAGGCCGGAATTCTTTACTGCATGGTACCTCTGCCTTTTGAAATTAACTAAAAAGTGATTTGATACCCAAACTTTACAAATATCTTTTTTTTCCATGGACCCTCTTCAGACTTTAGCATATACTGATGTTCTTGCTTCTCAACCCACTTTGTTAATTAAATGATGGTTATTTTTTTTTTAATTTTTACCGTGAGCTCCATGTTGGTTTTCATTTTCCTAAAGAAAGATATCACTTAGGTGTGGTGATACATTCCTGTAATTCCAGTACTTGGGAGCCAGAGGCATGAGGATCACAAGATTGACCAGCCTGGTCTGTGTAAGGAGACCCCCCTATCTTAAAAAACAAGATAAAATAAAAGTGTGTGTGTGTGTGTGTGTGTGTGTGTGTGTGTGTGCGCGCGCGCGCGCGCGCGAACACGCGCGTGTACATGCACGTGTACTTTCTGTCAGAATTGTCAACTAAGTATTTTTACATGAGAGTGAGGCCAGGTGATAGAAGTTTAGAGACTTGCTTTCTCCTACATGTTATCAGAAGAAGAAGCAATTGGATGATGCGTGTACAAACTCAAGCATCTGAACAAATGTTGGTTGGCCCAAGCCAATTGCCAAGAGTACCACAAAGGAATCCCACCCCTCCCTGCCTGTGCAGGGCTGCTGAGGGCTGGCCAGCTCTAAAAAGAAAATAGCAAACAAGACCAATAGGAGAAACACATACAGTTTTAGGTTCTAGAAGATAATTATGGGAGTAAAATGATTGTTTTTCAGCATATAGTCCTGGGCACTGCCCCTCATAACTTCAGCAGGACAAGCCTGTCTAGGTGGACACCACTCCAGATCTTTTCTCTAGGTTGACCAGAAGCCAGAAGCAGCACTGGAAGAGATGAGCTGTAAGTTCTAGGTTGGGGTTCTGAGAGCAAAAAGAACCAGAGCTGGGGGCCATGCTGTGGAGACTGGTGGGAAATGTTAGGAAAAGATCCCATGGAGGTGTGCCGAGTCAAGAGCAGACTCTGCCCTGCCTAAGGCCTGGCTAGATCCTGGGTCAAGTGACTCCTCAACTCTCCTGTGGGTGGATCAGTGACCTCTAGAAGACACCAGTTGTTTGAGAAGCCACCCTAGAAATGAAAGCAGGAGCACAGAAGTCAGCCGAGGAGAAGCTGGCAGTGCAGACCCCGGGCTGGAGAAGTGGTCATGCTCAGATCAAGACCCTGGCTCTCTCTTTTATCAGGCTCATGAGTGAACTCCTTAACTTCTGTGCCTTCATCTGAGCAGTGTACACATTGCCACTGGGTGCATCATTTGACTGACACCAGGAAAAGGGAAGCAATGTTGGAGATTCTTTGCTCTGTCCTGGCTATATCAACTGATACTGTCTCATATTGTTGCTCAAGGATGATGATGGGAAGTGATTTGGATTCTATCACATTAGGCTGTGTGTGTATGATATGTGTGTTGGTATGTGGGGTGTGGTAGGTGTGTTTGTCTTTACAGTATGAGTCTGAAATTCCAGCTATCCACGGCCTTACATAAATGAATGGGTGGGAAAACAGTAACCAATTTCAGGTCCTCACCTGAAGTCCCATCTGAGAATAACTTGGTTCTGTAAGAAGTGTCCTTTACCTGTGGCTCTGACTCCTGGCATGGGTTTGCATCCAAACAGGATTGTCAGTGGAAGCATGCCATCCCACTGCAGGCTGTGTCTCCAACTAGGATGCTGGTGGGGCCTCATTTCAGCTTTGCCTTTTGAACGATCTGGGGAAGAACCCATCTTAAGGAGAAGCACCCTTAGAGCACAGTGGCGCTGGATTCCGTTACAGAACCTCCGAGGTCCAGTTCTTGATTGTGTTTTCCCTGATCAGACACAGGGTGGCACTCTTCATTAAGTAATTTGGCCACTGCGAGGGAAGATGTCTTCTGTGAACTCTTGTGACTCCAGGAAAATGAATTCTTTCCTTTTCCTCTGGCTGCAGTGAGGCAGATCTAAGGTGACAGGAGGGGAAGTGACCGTTGCCCCCGGGCCACTGGGACTGTGGAGCATTACGCTCACCTGAAGGCTCGACCTTCTATTCATTTAATTCTGTATTGATGGAAGATATGAACAGTCAGTATAAAACCTTTTCCATCTCCATGTGGGAAGATTGGGGTTGTATTGTGTGAATTAATCCCTTGGGGAAGACATCATCGAGGCCAGTGGTGGTGACAGGAGAATGAGGGAGGTACCAAGGTCACCATTAACCAACCACCAATCACCATCCTGCTGATGGGGGAGGGGAACCCTTTGTCTAAGGGAACTGGATTGAGCTTTGCAGAGAAGGAGGGGGGGGGCTCAGACTTGCAATGGGAACTGGCTTCTAACCACTCGCCCTCCCCAGCTGCAGCCTGAATTCACACCTTGACATCACAGTCAATCTGCCGACTCTGCTGCCCAGGCGTGGGGCCCGTTTGGGATTGGCTTTAGGGGCTGACAAAGGAAATTCTTTACAGTGGGCAAAAGGGAGTGTCTGCGGTTTGGGTTATAGCCCTACTAAGTAATTTTAATGAAACCAAGTCACTGTGCTACCCAGGAGCCTGGGCTTTAGAGGGCCAGGAACCGGTTTTCCTTTGGGCTGATGTCTGGATTGTAGAGAGTCCGTGTGAATTAATTGGGCCTGTGTAAGATAACATCTTAAGTTCTCCAAATAAGACCCTGGATAGATACAGGAAGTCCCCTTGACATATCAATTAATTAATTGAAAATGAAATATGCTAAGTTCAAAAAAGCCAGTCATAAAACTAAGTCCTGTGCTGGCAGTTATAGTTAATGGAGCCTATAAGCATAGACTTGCCATTATAAATATTAAATACCACCTTTACAGAAAGCTTACATATTTTCAAAGCGCTTTGCACTCCTTAATTGCTCAGGACTTTGAATACCCCCAAGACAATGTGATTAACTCCATTTAAGAGGATGAAAACTTAGCCCAGAAAACCTGGAACTCATTGTCCTGTGAAGAAGACATGGGGAGCGCTAGTGTCCTCTTTGGCAGACCTTGTCTTTGTGGAGATCTGCAGGGCCCTGCAGCGTTCCCTTAGTGATCACACTCCTCTTAGTGATCACTCTCCGGCTGGTTCACTGACAGTCCCTCTGAATCCCAGAAATGACATTTGTAATCTCAAACTCAACCTTCCCAGCAGCTTGGTGGAGAGGCAGAATCAGCCCCCATCTCCTGGAAGCAAAATACAGGGTCAGCGAGAAAGTGGCGTGGTCCACAGGCTCAGAGTGCCGGGTGCTGTGCTAAAGCCAGGCTTTAGGCTTTGGGGCCAAGAGGCCCCAGGCAGCAGAGGTGGGGCCTGCAGGTGACACAGGGCAGTGGCCCAGAAGCCTCCTGATCAGTTCAGCTAGGAAGCCTGTGCTCTGTCTCAGTATGGTAAAGTTCTCAGGACTTCTGGGTCATCACTGAATTCACGCGGAGGTGAGCCTCTTCCCCAAGCTGTTGCCCCTCACTTCCCACTTGAAACGTTATTTTACACAGTCGCATGCTAACCCTTTCTCTGGGCCTCTATATGTTAATTGCCGGTCTTCCTGGTCAGAATCCTGATTATCCATCTACACTTCTGGCTTGTTTGTTTGTTGTTTTAGGTTCTGTTGTTTTTCTCCACTACCTGTGAATGGTGGAAAAGCTAATGGTACCTCTTCTTCAGTTGGACCCATCCTGTCCATGTCCAGGATGAGGTGTGGACCTAAGTTAATGGCTAAGGGGTCTAGTGAATCAATGAAAACATTGCTTTTTACTCGTATATTGATCTTCAGCTGCTGTAGGCTGTGTGCATCTGGAGGTGGGAACAGGAGGTGTGAAGCCACACCTTAGGGGTCCTCCATGAGGTGTGATACTCACAGGCTGACAAATGGTGGGAATATTGCTTTCCTGAAGTGCTGGTCATGTCCAGATGGTGCTAAATATCTGCTGCTGCACCCCACATCCCTCCACCCGGCTCTTCTACCCCACCCCTTTAAGTCCTGTGCCTGAGGCCCCCAGTGTTTTCCATGTGAAATAAATATCTCTAAGACTCAGGGCCTGACATTTCAAGACCATTCAGAAATCAGTTCTTATGTCTCTTATATTCCACATGTCACTCTGAAATAGCTAGTCCACCCCAGTCCTGTGCCATCACACCCAACTTCATGGTTTTTGTTTGTTTGTTTGTTTTGGCAAAGGACCTCCAGGTTTGAAATAGTTGCCAGGAAGAGCAGGGCTCATGGGTACCCACAGGCCCGGGGGCGTCCTCCCATGCCGGGACTGTGCAGGCTAGACTTGCTGAGTCTGCAACTACAGTGTCTGTGCTTTTATCTCTGCCTCCACTGCTTCCGCTGCTCCGTTTTGGAACATGCGGGATAATATGCTCTGGTCCCTTAAGGACGTAGAGGAAGGAACCATTTCCATATCCATTTGACTCAAGTTACCATAGTCAGCTGCTGGCTGAGCAAACTGACCTCAGATGAGTCACCGTCGAGCTCACAGAAGGTCACAGTTCAGTCAGACTCTGTGAGTCCAGTTGAGAAGTTGATGTCTGTGCTCAGGATGCCAGTAGAAGCAAAGAAGGGTGGGATGCTTGGTCCCAGCAACTCCCAGGCACAGGTTTAAACTCCATTCAGTCGACCACAGTGAGACCATGAGGCCCCAGCGGGGATAGGTGGCCAAGAGACAAGGCAAGAGCTGGCAGGGAGCTGGCAGGAGTGAGTAGGGCACAGGACCTATTAAATGGGACCTGGAGGGTTGCTAGGCTTCCAAATCCAGGGTACTTACAGCCCAGAGAGTGAAGTCTGGCTCCAGGGTGAAGCTGTAAGGGCAATCAGCTGCAGGTCACAGGGGCCACAGGAGGGACACGGGCAGCAGCAGTGTTGCTGTGACGGGGTGACAGGAGCAGGGTTACCTATGACCTATTCATATCACTTCCCTTCGAGTGTTACTGACTGACATGTTATCAACCTTGGTCCTCACCGCCACTGGAGAGGTGAAGGACAGAGGAACAAGTGGTGGAATCAGTCTGTGGTCAACAGGGTAAGAACATGGGTCACACCAAGGGACATTATCAGATCACCAGTCAGCACAGAAACCCCATCTTCCACCAGGCATTATTGCAAGTTTCCATAATCCACAGGGTTTGATTTGTCAGCACTCATCTTTTCCTGTCTGGCTCCTAGCTGGTTCCAGGAAA